CGACTTATCAAAACCATAATCGAGGAAACGAAAGAAAGCTTAACACGTATTAAATAATCAACTCGATGCATATTTTTCTGTAATAAATTTCCTCAGTTTAGTAGTTTCGTGCAAGTGTATGTGATATTTTTATAAAACGAACAATTCACGTCTATACGTACGCAGATAATATTTGTTTCTCACAACGCCAGATATTGGAGTTACAAATTGGTGACAAGCAAGGTGTGATATTCCTACCGAAACTTACCAACTTTATCGTAGCCAAACACGATAATTGCTTCGCTATTACGTTGCGACAACAGCGACTATCGCTAGAATTTTACAGATTTTTTGCTTTGTTTGAAAAAATCACTTTACATTTCAATGGGGTAAAGCAGACGTGTCGAGATGGTTACAAAAAGAACAATTCATATCCTGTTTTGCATCTCATTTCTCGCGATCGCAGTCAACTGTGAAGCTAGAAGTTTCGACAATGGTTGCCAAAATTTGAAGCCAAAAGTTTCCATCCTTCTCCATTTCACTTTCAGGCTAATTTCTCAAAGAGAAAATGAAGATCTAAAGCCACTTAGAAATAAATGCTCTTGATGAGAAGAGAGTGTAAGCACGTAGGACAAATTTTGATCTCATCTACCATGGAAATTTGTATAAATTTACAAAGACAACAGAAATATTTGCCAAAGCATTTGGGTATTAAAGAGTTTTGATTAAACACATTCACAAAATTAACTTATGTAGACGTAAAAAGGTACAAGAGGCAACTGCAAAATATCAGGCGGTGGAAAAGCCCAAACAGTTGTGCAATTGGTATCGATCACTGATCAAAAACATGACTGACATAGCTTTCTCGTGTTCTTGAATTAGGGGCGAAACAACGCATGTTGAAAAGGATTTAGATGTCTTTACGCAGTACATTCACACACATTTACGAAAGGTTTGAAAACTGACTTCAGATTAAGGTCGAATGTAAAACGCTAAGAACAACTAAACCTTACCTGTTCTGTCCCCCTTGATCGCGCTCCAAAACATGCTCCAAAGCTCATCGCCATTTTCCTTGCCGTGTTGCAGCAAACAACTGTTGACTTCTGGTCTTTTGTTCTCACCAAAGCGAAGTAACTTACTAAAAAAGCTCTAAGGGCTGCTAGGAGCGGCTATTTTGAAGTAGAAACAGAAATTATCAGCAAGGTAAAGGAAATAAAGTTGAGTTACGGTAAAATGCCCTCCTGCAGTCGCGCGCGCGTATGTTCTATCAAGTAGTATCTATTTTCAGCACACTGTCAGATGACCAAAAATATGCGACAAGTCATTAGCATAGAATCTTGTTTACTAGGCACCAAAACCATTTACAGTTTTTTTAATGGCCTCGGCAGCGAATATCCTGTTAATATCCTGGCCAGTTTGAAAATGATCCAATGACGTTTTAAAAACAAACAAGTCACCTCAGTTCTCGGCTGAACTGAAATAATTTTCTTTGGCGACAACCCCTCCCCAGTAACAAATAAGGTAATAAAGTAGGGCCAACGCAGTGCCCCCCGCAAGTTATGGGAAATACCCAGCCTAATCATTGTGTCAAGGACACAATATAGCCAGTCAAGCTAGCTTAAGTTGTAAATAGATGTGATCTATATGGCAATGGAAATGAAATGTACAAATTGTAAAGAGACAAAATTAATTATAATGGCCACGTGCGGTCATGTGCTCTCTGCGTGTGTACCGGTAGTAGCCAGGCAGTACTGACTTGCGGTTTGTAAACCGCACGACTCGACGACGTGCCCACTTAAATGAAACCTAAAAATATTGTCGAGTCTGTTCTTCCAGGGACATCAACAATTCCCTTAAGGTATGGGTACAATTCCTAGTAGTAAGAGTTCTGCTACAAGGGTAGTAGCAATTCAGGCGCTCTTTTTGGGTGTGGTGTGCGACTCGCCTCTCATTTGCCCGGGATAGCCATAATATCCCGGATTTCGGGGGACTACCATATGACAAAGATGGCGATGCTCGTTCCAGGGGAAGGGTATTTCCCATAACGGCTTATACGGGGAGCCTCTTTCACGCTTCAGGTACATGAAAGGGCAGAGATTTTGCCAGTTAAAGTATAAAAAAGGGTAGGAAAATCTATGCTTTCGATCTGTAAAAAGCCCAAGGGTCTAACAGAAAACTTTCCGGTTTTGTTATTTATTCATATTTAAATGACAGTGCATTTACAGCAGTTAAAAGGATGCAAAATTCTAAACTAGGTATGTGAAAGGGGCACCATTTGTTAATACAAGGTTTATAAAAGAGGTACCTTTTCTGTTAAAAATGGCATATAAAAAGGGGGTAAGGGGTCGGACCTCGGGGTGCATGCAGTCTCCCCGATAATTTAACTCTGTTAAGTACCCCCCAGGGTGCTGATGTCTTGTTGAGGGGCGATTTTGGTTCATTCAGCGTTTTCAGGGAACAAACCTTTTTAGCTTTTTTACATTTAAAGACATCGATCACGGTTGTCTGTAAAGAGAAAACTGATATAATCACCATCGAATTGTGTTGAAGAGAGCATTCAATCAAACATCTTTTGCCTTATGAGCTCCTGCTTTTACCTAATTTCAAATTAAGTCAATATTGTTCTAATATTGGTCCTAGTAATGAATTGCACCGGGGCTGTCTGTTTCCGTAAGGCCTCTCTTTTCGGGGTCAAACAAAGCCTGAACCAGGTCCGATTGGTCTAATTCTTAAGGGTTTAATTTCAATTTTTCAATAAGTACTCCCATCCTTTTCTTACGTGAGTCGCCCCCGGGCAAAAAAACAACTTTACACACGTACACACGACTTCAGAAGGCATCACTGTTTACAACCATGGTTTTTATTATTCAAATATTTGTTACTAGTGAAATAAAAGAATCTTGTTATATGATGTGCCCCTGGTGACGTCAGCGTGAGTATCGCTATCGCTATACCGTAAAGGATGATGGGATTTCACAAGTTGAAGTATATTGTATCGACAGGGTATAGAAAAATCGGTAATTTGGTTGTATTTATTCGCAGAAGTACGCGGCCGGGATCGCGGGCAACAGTACGAGCCTCCATATTGTTTTGATCGAATACCCCACAAAATTAAAATCTTTACTAAATCAAGCCACCCAAAACTTCCAGTAAAATTCCCTACCCAAACAAATCCCACAATCCGGAAAATTTCAACCCCCCCAAAAATCCTTCGATCATATCCGTCACTCGAAATCCGGAGTACTCCCCTGGGATCCCTTCCCGTGTACCTCCTTCCACTATGTGGGTACCCCGGCCAAGTTAGAGTTACCCTGTTCCAGGCTCCAAGATTGCGCGCGCGTGGAAGGGGGATAAGATTTTCCCGCCGCAACCCCCTTTCCTAGATCACGCGGGTTCCCTTTGCTTGTTTTATCTTCGCAACGTCCCTACTACCCGAGAGCTTAACACAGGCTAAGTTAGGGCAGGTTCGTGAACCCAGTCTGGAAATAAAATTAAAAACTGACTCCTTTTTAAGGCGAGGACACGCAAAAAGGTACTTTATAGTTTGAACAGGTGATTCTCAAATGTTTTTTCTTTTCACGCAAAACAATTCATAAAGTACATAATTCTAAAATGAGCTTATTTTAAACAGAATCGTTTTGTTAGTACCTATGTAAGGTAGTTAGCGACCATGATCCTGTCCTCTCAGCGAGTTCACCTGTTACCAGGCTTTGTGTGGCAGGCGTTCGAAGCAAGGCAAAGGAAAGGGATAGAACGACCAGAATTAACGAATCAATTCACTTCCACATCAAGGAGACACAACACTAATGTTTCTTTTGAAACCATAACCCCTTCATTCTCAAGTCTTTACTCAGTTAAGCCAAGCGAAAATGCCACCTTACCCAACCAAACCCCCCAACCCGGAAAATCCCACCCCCCCCCCCTCCCAAAATCCTTCGATCATACCCGTCACTCGAAATCCGGAGTACTCCCCTGGGATCCCTTCCCGTGTTCCTCCTTCCACTATGTGGGTACCCCGGCCAAGTTAGAGTTAACCTGTTCCAGGCTCCAAGATTGCGCGCGTGGAAGGGGGGATAAGATTTTCCCGCCGCAATCCCCTTTCCTAGGTCACGCGGGTTCCCTTTGCTTGTTTTATCTTCGCAACGTCCCTACTATCCGAGAGCTTAACACAGGCTAAGTTAGGGTAGGTTCGTGAACCCAGTCTGGAAATAAAATTAAAAACTGACTCCTTTTTAAGGAGAAGACACGCAAAAAGGTACTTTATAGTTTGAACAGGTGATTCTCAAATGCTTTTTTCTTTTCACGCAAAACAATTCATAAAGTACATAATTCTAAAATGAGCTTATTTTAAACAGAATCGTTTTGTTAGTACCTATGTAAGGTAGTTAGCGACCATGATCCTGTGCTCTCAGCGAGTTCACCTGTTACCAGGCTTTGTGTGGCAGGCGTTCGAAGCAAGGCAAAGGAAAGGGATAGAACGATCAGAATTAACGAATCAATTCACTTCCACATCAAGGAGACACAACACTAATGTTTCTTTTGAAACCATAACCCCTTCATTCTCAAGTCTTTACTCAGTTAAGCCAAGCGAAAATGCCTCCCCCCACCCCCAGTAGAGCTAAGATCCGCTTTTTCCGTACACCGTAGACGCATCTTAGTTACAGTGTACTTTTCGAGAACGGAATTCTGAAACCAAGATGTGCATTTTTCAAAAAGATCGGTTATTCAAACGGAATTACACCGCGTTTTAAGCAATTTTCAATTTGGCAAAGCCCCGATACAACATTGTTCAAGGCGAATACAGTAAACACCCGCTAATAAGAACCTGTGGATTAAGAACTTCCTGGGAGTGACACTTTAATACCCAAAAATTTAAGAACTTGTTTAGCCAAGCAAGATCAAGCAGGTTCTTATATGTGGGTTATTATGATAAACTATATATAAATTCAGTAATCAGTTTTGTTAGGGTTATGATAATAACATTATGAATAAATAGACAGTTTATTTATTTTTCTGGTAATCCACAACCTATCATCTCCTTCAGAAAGATTACGAACCTAATTAAAAACCTACTTACCTTCAATTGCCAACAAGTACCCCAAAATAGAAGAACATATTTTGCCAGACTTAAAAAAAATAGGTTGTTATAAGCGGGTGTTTACTGTAGCGTCCAAAAAACAAATCTTTCTTCGTCAAAAACCAACTTACTGACTCTATAAGGGCAGCCTAAGAATAAATATATATCGTTCAAAAACCGCGACCCACAGTCTCTCGTGAGTAAGTCTACGGGTTCCTTTTGTCTGGGCGTTCATTGTATATAAGGAAGTTTATTTAACGGTAATTGTTTGGTGTTAAATTATATACATCTAGTAATAACATAAACCAGTCTTGTTTTGGTATCTATCTATCTTTTTTTTCTTCTTCCTCCTCATCTTCGTCGACCTCATCTTTGCCTAGTCCTTCATCTTCAAATCCCTGATCTGTATCAGGCTCTTGAAGAAACGTGTTAACAAGGCATTCGACCAACAATCTGATAACGGGAAGTAACAACAAACCAAACAGAATTCCAGCGATAAAGATGAAAACAGCGGCACTTTTCCGTATTTGAATGATGTGCTACGATAAAACAAAACATGACCATTAGTGGGTAACCGGTTGAAGTAGTTCAATAAAATAGCGTGTGCAACATATCTCGTTTATTAAGCCATATTGAGACGAACCTAGAGCAATAAAAGTGAAATATAAATCTCGTTCTTTACTTCACGTTGAGACAAACTTAGAATGGCAAAATTACAGGCGGCATCCGTCAGCATTTCGTGCGACTTGTCTATAAATTTCGGGCGAAGCAACTTTGCTTTCGGGCGACTTGACCGTAAACCTCAGTAGTCACACTAACAGCAACCTGTTAATGCGCGACACACGGGCGACTTGACCGTGAGCCTCAGTGGTGACACTAAAAGCAACCTGTTACAGCGCGACACAGTCACGTGCAATGCATCTAGTTACAAGGGCATGTCAATACAGGAACGAGTATAGCTAAGACGTGAAGTACAGACAAGAACACAATGTCTGGAGACACAGGAAATTGCTCCAGGATAAGTTTCTTTGGTGATTTTCCAAGGTTGTCGCTGACTGATTCAAATAATTCATTCCGTTGCAAAAAAATGTTGTAGAACCGTCTGCACGAAGGTGATAGTGCCCTTGGAACAATTTTATGAAGTTCATTAAGTTGAACTCTGTTGGGACAAATTTCCTGTCGCTGGACAATTTCCCTGGGAAATGCTCCTACGACACGCATGACCCTTTATGTTTCCCACCCTTTTGGTATTTCTAATATTGTCAAAGTCGAGTACATGGAGAGATAGAGAAATAAAACATTGAAGTAGAGGAAAAACGTCCATACCTTTGCATCATTCATGAGTTCTTCAATGAAGATGTCACTAAAATAATGAATAAATTTCAGATTCAGACACTTTTGAAGATGACATCACTCCTGACTCATCATTATTTTGCACTCATGGAACAGGTTAAAATTCATTCACCCTTGGAAGTCATCCACAGATGCACTGAAATCCTTTTTCATCCTGTTTAAGAGGAAACTTTCATCCTTTGCTTTGTACTTCCTCATCTAACTCAGGTGGCTAAGTTGTTACTGGTGACATAATACTAAGGGTGGGGGTGGGGGTAACTTTGCACTTTGTACCCTTACCAAGGATTGGGAGGGGGAATTAAGCAAGTACTATAAGGAGCTCCAGTTTAAGCTCCGAGTGTAACGGTCTCCTTGGCCCAAACAGCACAGGGCTGTTTTGTAGCAGCACCTAGTGTCTTCCCCCTAACTGCTGCTCCAGGATGGCCACTAGTAAATTAGTTTTTGCACAAAACATAGGGTAGTACTCTAGCAGCACCTGGTGCCCCCGTGGGGTAGCCCCTTGGGACCTTATTCTAGCAGCACCCTGGTACACTTTGGGTGACAATTTTGAGCTTTTGTGCTCCCTTCATTATTACTATTATTACACTTACAATTTGCTAACTGGAGGAGGAACTGGTTGAGATGCAGCTAATTTATAGCCTTCTTCTATGAATTTGATAAATGATTCTTCATCCATCTTGTCCTCTGAATACAAATACTGCTTTCCCTGCTTAAGACTGACAAAAATAGTTCTATAATCACTTCAATGCTCTACAAGTTCCCACTTCCAAGGGGAAAGACACAAATCTATGATGCCATTTGTTACTTTTAATAGTGGAGCTCCATGGGGGTGCTTGCAGGTGAAGCCCCACAGCTCAGAAATTTGGTTATTAATTTGGTAGTGACATGACTGTGCATCCATCCCAACACCAGAGGGAAACCAGTGTGAGATCTAACATTTTCTAGCTCGTGTGGGAGCCTGCAACCGGATATTGGACATCCATGTGGTGGTCAATTTACAGCTGTCAAAAGAAGATTTCCACTGACCAGTATCACATGACTGTGTTGCAGGTTTAGGTATAGCTCATTTGAGGTTACATTTTTTTTTTAAGTTATCCGCTGACAAGGTACGTAGTTTTCAACTGATCACAGGCTCTTCTAAGTGGATTTCTTTCCAATGGTTACAAGTTCATTGTTTGAAGTAAATTAGAAGTTTACTAAGAGGAGCTCCACCTTAAACTTTGGCTAAATCTATGTAATCCTTATTATCACTACCTGTTATTTTTTTTATGCACAACCCTTGGCCATAGCGTACCTTTACATGCATTGGTAGGAACATTAGTCTTCTATTGCATTAACCCTTTGAGTCCCAATAGTGACCAACAACAATTTTCTCCTAACAATGTCCATACATTGTAAAGAGATAAGGTTGTGAGAATATAAAAAATGATCACAAAAGAGAAAGTGCCTTGACCTTTTATTAAATTCTCTCAACTAATTCTTAAAGGAAATGTATGGAGATCAGTTTGGAGAATTTGTATGTGGATACTGGGGCTTAAAGGGTAAATAAAAATATTGTTTTTCTGTCCTGAAGACCCTAAAGTGAGTTTAAAAACCCTTAATCAGCATTCCTTAACCTCCCAGTACATAGTTACAGGTCAAAATTAAATTCAGGTTAAAATCTTTTTAACCTGGTTTGATTCTTAATTTCCTTTGTGTTCTAGCCCTAATTTTTCATGAAATAGGGCTAGGACACAAAGGAAATTGAGAATCAACCCAGGTTAAAAAATATTAACCTGAATTTAATTTTGACCTGCAACATATGCAATGCCACTATGCAAATTGGCATTATTTTGTCAGCAACATTATATTTTAGTTCATCACTCCACACATAATACTACTAGAAGTTTAATTCTTTTGAAACAGTTTATACTGTCATTTGGAGATACAGGAACTGCTGAAATTATAACAATTAAGCTTTTATTAATGGATATTGTGTGTTTTCACATGACATCATGGTGGCCATATTTGTGTCCCAAAACAATGAAGCGGCAGCCATGTTTGTGTCCCAAACCAGTCCTGTGGGAGTTAAACTCTTTTCTTATGTAAACGCTTTCCTTTATTCCAATAAATTTGCATAGATGCGAGTGATGTGAGTGAAAACACAGAATCTCTTTGGAAATCAAAAAGAGAAAAAAAGTTAAGAACAGAAAGGAAGAATACTCACAGCGTGACAAAAGGCCATCTTGCTACATCGAATCGCCTCAGTGTTACTGTAAAAGGTAAAAAAAATAAAGAATTACATGTACAATAAAATTGAATATTTTGAAACACAGTGAAATGGGTGCATAAACTCATCATCAGTATACCATAAATTTTTTGTATCATAATAAAAAGTAAAAAATAATATTATTAGACCACTAACTCAGGATTTTCAATAAGGTTATAACTAGGTGGCAGAAGCTTTGGAGTAAACCGTAGGTGGAGAAGGAAAAAACTTCACCAAAGGCGCAACCTGGGACTCTGAAGGTGTGAGATTTAAGGGGTCCAGGGGCATATGCAACAGAAAAGAACTGTAACTCAAACTAAAAACTAAATATAACATGACAAGAAACAGAATACATATTTGTTATCTGAGTCTGAATGTTGAAATATGTCAGCTCCCTTTCCATTTCACATGTAGCAAGAAAATGACCAATAGAAATGACCAATGAGACCTAATAAAAGTGCTCATGACGCCATAATATGAACAGTAATTTTTTTCAGGGTGTCTGTACTGGTGAAGTTCCTGTGAGGCAAGAGTTGACTGCATTAAGAACAATGAACTGGTCAAAACTGTAACTCTACCCTACACTGTATGGACTGGTGTAGAAGCACCCATGTATGTGGACATGTATGTGGACTGAGGAAGGGGGGGCATTGGCAGAGGTTTAACTGTAGTTGGAAAGTTTGATTTTGCAAAAACCTCAATTATGTATTTAGTAATACTTTCACATTGGGTTTTCCTGATATACTAAAATAAATAATAAGGTATCTTTCTTTTACATGTACGTACAAAAGTTATTAATTCTGTCCCTTTTGTAAATGTCAGTAAAAGCGTAAAATCTCACAAAACACATTTTAGGACTAACTTAAGTCATTGCAAATTGATGAAGAATAATAGGGAGAATTAAACAAAATTCATACTTACAACTACTCCTCGGTGGTAACACTAAGGCAAAATTCAACTTGTGGCCTAACCTAAAAAGTTACAACATTTTATTAGACATGTAACTGAATGGAAACACAGATTGTTCATTACAGATCAGATCTCACAAAACAGTAACTCTTATCTTAAGATTATTGGGGGTCAACCTCATTCCTGTATTCCTCTGTTCTTATCCATACTCAGTCTTGTGCTGGATTTGTCTCAAAAAGTCAAACTTAACAGGGATGCCAACTTGGCACTTGGCTTAATGACAGAGAAGCTTTTGGAGAGGTAAAATTCCAAGGTAGAATTCCAACTGGTAGGAGGCAAACCAGTTGGCTATGTACAGGCATGGCTGAGGATTTGAACTTGGAACCACCAAGAACAAATCCAGCTACCGGTCAGGCCTCCAGAAACAACTCCAACTCAGGCCTTCAGAAACAAGTCCAGCACCCTAACCACTCGGCCACTCTGCCTCCCACTGCCTCTGAACATGTCTTTGCAGCAACTTAGAGCCATTGTTGCAGTGAGTCGAGAAACGCTTTGCAGTTAATTGACTTCATGATGCAGTGAAACCACTTGTAGCAAAACAACTTTGCAGCGAAAAGACAGGCACCTTTATGCTAGAATCTTTGGGCTTCAGTGAACTAATAACCAAATATAGTTACTGAACCATCCATTATCAGTTATAAGACACTGGTGGCTTGTTAGGTATTTAGCTGAATTCTTTCTTTCTTTTGTCAGATTTTCCTCAATACTCACCTCAATTAGCTAACTACACGTGTAGCTATTTGTAACAATAAGTAACAAGTAACAATAAGTATAAAAATAATATCAGACATGGAAGAAATATAACTATATTTACTACAAGATTTATAACTAATAATTCATATATAATTTTTTTTTCAGTTTCGTTTTGAATAAGTGGAGAGAATTAGATTCTTTAATATCATTTTCTATAGTGTTATAATAAGTAGGTCCTTGGAAACTGACAGAAAATTTACGAAGGTTTGTTCTACATGAAGGAAGGTGAAAATCGTTCGCGTGTCTAGTGGCATAGCTATGGACTTGTTTGTTTAAAGAAAAATAATTGTTGAACTTTGAAGGCAAAAGAGAATGGTTAAGAGAAAACATAAGTTTACCTAATTCTAGCTGTCTANGATTTTACGAGCTACTTGAGAAATGTGCGGTTTCCAAGACAGATGTTCATCAAGGACTACACCGAGGAAGACCGTTTCCTTAACCTGTTCGATTCTCTGTTCGTTTATGCATACTTGCATTGGAAAATGATACCTTTTCTGTCTAGGCTTAAATAACATAAAGTTTGTTTTCTTTAGGTTTAAGGAGAGTTTGTTTGCCTTGAACCAAGTGGATAATTTATTAAGTTCGGAATTGAGTGAGGCTGCCAGGTAGACAGGATCTTTATGGGACATAAATAAATTAGTATCATCAGCGAATAAAATCAGCTCGACGAGCGACGATACATTATTTAAATCATTAATATAGAGCAAGAAAAACAAGGGGCCCAAAATAGATCCCTGGGGGACACCACAGCAGATAGTTTGAGGAGAGGAGCATTGACTGTTAAATTGAACGAATTGCAACCTGTTGGAGAGGTAGCTTCTAACCCAGTCCAGAGCCACGCCACGTATACCATAGTGTTCGAGTTTGTCAAGCAGAATATTATGATCGACAGTATCAAAGGCCTTAGAAAGATCAAGGAAAACGCCAACGGCATGTTCATTGCGATCAAGAGCAAGGGAGATTTTTTCATATAAGTCAATCAATGCTAAAGAAGTTGAATGATTTTTCCTGAAGCCAAATTGATTATCACATAGAATTTCTAGTTTACTTAAATAATTATAAAGACGGTTATAAACAACCTATTCAAGAAACTTAGAAAAGCTAGGGAGAATCGAGATCGGTCTATAGTTCGTAAAGAGTGATCGATCACCGCCTTTAAAGAGTGGTATCACGCGAGCAATTTTCATATGGTCGGGAACAATGCCATGAGAGATAGATAAATTGATTATATATGATTAATTGAACTTAGGGGATTCAAGTAAGGTTGTAGTTGTTTTTACAAACTTGAAAATATAGCACACTTACTTTTCTTTAGCTTTTTCTATTGCTTCATCTGCTTTCTTGCATTCAGCACACTCTGGGTCTCTGTCAGTAAATGAGCTGCAAAAGCCAAACATTTAAGTCAAGTTTCATCAACACGATCAAAGTGTGTAATTGATTAGTTATGCAGAAATTATTCTGCACATGCGCAGATTCAAACTAATGTTGCCATATCATAGCAACAAAATGCAGGCTTTTTGCTGAACGCATCCGATATCAATGGATCATACATTGAACGATCAAACCTGTTTTTGAAGAGTGGGAGGGGATGATGATAAAGTGATGATGGTGTGGAAATGAAGAAAACTGCAAAGCAGAAGCTACAGAATAATGAAGGCGTTTGTTGCCTTTCACTGCAGTTCAAAATAACATCAGCTGTTTGGAAAATTTTTATTTGTTTGAATGGCCACTTGAGACATGTCATGACTTTGCTGTGGAGTGGCAAAGGCAAGTGACAAAAAAAAAGTCATGTGTTAAAAGAAAACAAAGCTCATACATATGTACGAATCCCACTTGAGTGAGGTTTAAACGATTACACACTTTGATCTTAATGATGTCATCATGAAAACATATCAGGCTAACGAACAGCAGTGGAACATTATTTTCTCCTGCCCTTCTCAATAAGATTTGAACTGGAAAATAACAAATTTAACCATCGCTTAGGTTTTTCACCTTCAGTCCATCAATCATAATTAGACGAAATGAAACAACCAAATTGGATCGAAATTTGACAATCACAGGGTAAAATTTCTGTATAACCCCACACATTTATTATGCAAACATGTTTCAACTCTATTCAACTATTTGCTAGAAAAAGTATGAAATTCCTGAATGCATATTTAAATAAATATAAGCATATGTGGTTATACCGAAATCTTACTGGTAGTTTTTCTTGGGGGCATATGACATTTCATGTTCGTGTTTAAACTAAAGAACGAACAGATGCTCATAAAATAAAGAGAGACTCAGAAGACAATGGGCAAGCATTTTTAATAGACACTCAGGGCTCAAAGTTAGCGACTAACTGGTCGCATATGCGACTAGTTTTTTGGTTGTGCGCCTAAAATTTCATGTGTAATCGCACCTGTGCACCGTAAAACCCAAAGCACAGTGTGACTGACTTACTTCCGGTCCGACTACATGTACGAACTAGAAAGACGGTGTATGTTTAATTGGTCTTTTCTCCCAATGGATTCTACAAACTCCATTGTTCTTTTTCGTTTCGATGTTTTACTCCATCCCAGACTCTTCTATTTTGCAAAAAACACCGCTGACACATGCAAATATATGCTACGAACGAAACACATACTTTTCGCACTATGGATGATCATGTCGAACGTTCAGTTTTAATGTCAATCAAAACAAAAGCAGTGCCGATTAAGAGCCTTTTTTTCCAGGTAAGAAAGTTTTTTTAAGTCATATTCCAGTTACATGTAAGTCATTGCGCATTTAACAAATTCATTAAAGATTAATTTTCATTCTCATTCAACACACTCATTGTTGTCAGTTTTGAATTGTTTTTCAAGAGTAAGTTTTCTTTAGTCACAACTGTACTGTCAAAAAGAGAAATCAGTATTAAAAATCACAACGGTATTACTGCATAGCAAATAGGCTGTGTTTTATCAATCACAGGACTGAATTAAAAGTAACAAACTGAAGATGACAAATAAACGTGGCACTGTTAAGCTTTTTACTTTTTCATTTGAAATAGATGCTCCCAACATTACAAGCTGTGCTCCTAAAATTTTCAGCTGCGCGCCTAAAATTTCGGCAGTGCGCCTAAAATTTTACATCTGGTAGCACAAGTGCTCCAAAACTCAAATTTAAACTTTGAGCCCTGACACTGTACAAAAAGTACTTGCCCATTGTACTGTCTATTCTACATATATAAGCTCAACTTCGCCTATGATGAACTCACAAAACTATAAACCAGTCTCCCGTCGTTGCTCCTGTTGAAGCTTGCGTCAAGTGCTCGAAATTGTTGTCATTTAGGATCTGAACAGTAGTATCGCTCCAACACTTATGACAAAGAAGGAGCAACGTGCTAAATCGCAGAAAAACATTCAACGTGCTGTCCGCCATCTTGCAAAGCTCAAGTGACTGGGAAGGTTGGGAACGAGTGTTGACGAAATTAGGTTATGATGGCCATATATAGAAAACAAGATCTCCAATATGGCGGACAAGGCGGCCAGAGACTAGACTGACTACGAAGGAAAAAATTCTTAGCTTTGAAATCAGAAAGAAATGCCACTAGTAGTCATGTGTGGATACCCTTGTTCAGGAAAATCAAAGAGGGCTAAGGAATTAAAAAATCATTTTGAAGTTTCAAGAGGAAAGACTGTTCATTTGGCTGGCGACGAGAGTTTGAATTTGGAAAGAAACGCAGTTTACTCAGGTATATATAATACATTGTAGCTGTGAGTAAATACCTGGAGATGCTTCTGATACAAGTTTGGTCTAAAGGATCATGGACTTGTAATAAGTCTCATACCTATGATCGACCTGGTGGTGGCTTTTAAGTGTCAGTTGCAAAGTCGGGTCCTTTGCACACTTTTTACACTGAGAATGGCCAGAAGTGTGATTGCGATATTTTTTCTTTTCCCCAAGTATCAGCAAATGAAAAAGAGGCAAGAGGTCTTTTGAAGTCTGCAGTAGAAAGGTAGTTAGCTGACTGATGAATGAATTTCACACTCACGCATGCGAAGGATGTGCTAGTTTTTTTTGGTTGCTTTTATAGTCTTCCTTTATGAAGTACCTAGAATTGGTCCCATGGACCATCCTTGTAAACCTGCTCCATGAAACAAGGGAGCACCCATAATTTGCTGCTGGTTTTCTGCCAAAGCAGTTATCAATTACATCTGCTCAATAATATATACTATTCCTTACTGGGATAGTCTTGAATACTGTAGAGATCTAGTAGATCAATTCAAATAATAGAGCCCATGTGGTTAAAAAGAAAAAATCTGCCACTTTAATACGACTGCCACTCAGTTACTCAAGAGGGAATGATTATATTGTCCAGGTTTGGGCATATTGATATGTTACTGAGGTTTTGAGGTCTGGACCCTCTTTAGATTTCAAAAAACAGACTATACTAAAGTACCTTAATTGTTTGATGTATTAAGACTGTTTAGGAGTAGCCTGTTTTAAATTATGTACGCTGTTTAGGACAGAGAAGCTGAAAAGCAAACTCTGTTTAGCAACTAAGGGTTAAGAAACCAGCAAATTTTAGTTTTGTTTACCAAGTATTGCACTTGAGCCCATTGCATATGATGTTCCAATATTATTATTCATTTTAATTAATTTATTTTTTCAAGGCTGATTTCAAGAGATGATATTGTCATATTAGACTCGCTTAACTATATTAAAGGTAAGAACATGACTATTGTGCTACCGAGTGTATAAATTAAAAGTATTATCCGTTCCTTAGCACTTGCTTTATAACTTGCCAGTGCACATGTCAAGGGTAGGGTAAGGGCTACAACACCTTTAACCACACCAGCAAATTAATCCAAGTCCATTTCCTTAGAAGAGTTTTTTGCACCATGAAGTCTACCTCTTGTACATCTCTGATGCTTTAACTCTTCTCACATCTATATATGTGCATTAGTGAGTATAAGCAAAGACTATTTTTAGTGACTCACTTCAACTGGAAGTGGACTTTTGGCATTCTTGGGCAGTGGTGTGGCTGAAATGTTTTGTATTTAAATAAACCATTTAATGATCTATATAAGCATAAAGACATTGCGCAATACAAATTTGGTTGTTTCAAGGTATAGTAAGACAGAAAAGGCCTCACTATCAGTTGACATGCATCACCAAAAAAAGTCTTAGCTTAAACTCCATACTATACAAAGAATTATGTGACAATTATGGGGGTGGGAGAGCTGATATCTGTTTTTAAAATATGAAGATTTCACTTATACCAGTTATTTAGATTAATCTGCAGATTACTGTATGTGGATATTGGGGCTCATCATTATGCTTTGTTAAATTTTCAGGTTACAGATATGAGCTGTACTGTGTTGCAAAGGCACATAAAACTACTCATTGCATTGTAAGTATGCAAATATATTATTTGGTAGCAAAGAGAGAATGAAATACAAAAATAGTATGAAGAAAAACATTTTTTGCTTAAAATTTATGGTATATCATACTGAAGACTCTCTGATAAGAGGTAAAAATGATGAACAACTTTCTCAAAATCTTGTTGATGGACTGTCATCCTGTAGCTGTCAAACAATTTTGCTCTAATTATTTTATCACAGAAATGGTCTAGTTATCAAGATAACATGTTCACATGCACAAAAAAGGCTTTTAAAAAAGGAGGTCTATTTATCAAAATTAATTAAATTACTATGTGTTCATTTTTCTGTGCAATTGTTCAGAAATAAATCACATACATTACACAAAATACAGTTAACTGTGGTTAGATTTTTCCTATTAAATTTGTATAGGTTCATTGTGACACTTCAAAAGAAAAATGTAGAGAGTGGAACAGTACAAGAGAAAATGGATATGATGAAGAAATGTAAGCTGTGCCTCTTGTGTACAATAATAGATTTGCCCATGAAGGATATCTTCTTATTCAGCCCATCTGGAGCTAATGTTTCAATTTTCAGTTTAGATGCACTGGTGATGAGGTTTGAAGCACCGGAATCTAGAAACCGATGGGACTCTCCACTATTTGTTATTCAGGTAAACATTATTGTATGGAGCCAAGTGGCACAACATTACCCTTATGATAGCAGCCAGCAAAGATAAAGGTGTGGACCATATATTTGCACCTTTTGGTTACGAGGCTTAATCCAGGGTCTTTTCAGGGCCATCTTCCTTGAGCAGTACATAATATTATGTTACAGGTCAAAATTAAAATCAGGTTTAAAGTTTTTAACTTATGTTGATTCTCAGTTACCTTTGTCTCCTAGCCCTAATTATGTATGAATTAGAGCTAGGAGACTATAAAAGGACATTGAGAATCAAACTACAGTAGAACCTTGATACAACAAACTTCTAAATAACAACGTTCTCGGTACAATGAACCATATTCTTTACCCCAGTAATAGTAAATGATATGAAAAAGAATGTCGCTAAAATGATGCCTTGTTATAGTGAACATATTTTGCCAGTACAAGTCCCTTGGTCCATCCTTATATCAAGGTTTTACCGTAGGTTAAAGAATTTTATCCTAGTTAATTTAATTTTTGCTTGTAACACATTTATGTATTTGTTGAATGCCGTATAGCAAACAAGTACACTGTTCTTGAATTAAATAATTTTAAATGCATGTACATGTAGAGTGTATGGACAACAGCACCATATAGTAGAGAAGTGTGACATCACAAAGATTGAATTTGTGAAATTATGGGACAAACTGAGATATTTACCTGGATCTTAAAAGGTATGCTCCAAGTTAATTTTAGAAGGATTTGTATGGAGTTATCTGAGCATAATGTTGCTAATTTCTCACTGTCAATTTGCTCTAACAAGCTGAATTTTGGCAAGTAGACAGTTCATCTTGTTCTTTTTGATTGTCCTGCCCAGTCGAATAATTTCTTCAAGTTAGTTTTTGTGACATCATGCACTTCTCTACTCTGTATGAATTGTCTTAAAAAGAGTTGAAAACCATGATTATGTCATAAATTTAGAAATTTCCAGTACTGTACCAGCTTATATTATCCTTGATCTCCAGGTGGGTGATGACCTGCCATTGGATTCTATATATGATGCTCTTATAAACAGAATACCACCTCCACCAAATCAGGCCACTCAACCAGTAAGTAAACTTACTGTTGCATGTATTTAAAATTAAGTTTTAAACACTTCTCATATATAATGTGCAAGACTGGATGCCTTGAAATGAAGATTATTCCAGTGAGTAAACATACTGTTGCATGTGTTAAAAATTAAGTTTTAAACACTTCTCATATATAATATGCAAGACTGGATGCCTTGAAATGAAGATTATTGTGCAGTCATGTACAAATCTTAATGTAGTATCTTGTCATGCACAACCCATTGCCTAACTCAACCTTTTAAATCTTTTGTATAATAAGCACTAATGTATAATATTTTGTAGACCATATATTACCAGCCTTTACAAAGTACATTCAAGTAAATTAGCATCATTCTTAAGTGTGCCACTATATTTTTTACACGTAAGATAGGAAATTGTGTTATTACTGGAAGATATCCCATCCGCTCAGGATGTCAAAAGGTTCTATGTTCATTATCAACAGCACTGTTTTTTTTTTAGCACTAAACTAACTCACATGTGAAGACCGTACCATTTACAATTTTTTTCTGTCATTCTGTTCTTATTTCTAGCAACCATTATCTGCTACAAACTTCTTATATGAACTTGACAAAATAACCCAAGAAATAGTAACTGTAAGTATATGTACCTCTTGATTAAACTGTTCAGCATGTCTTTAGTTGATGTGCATGACAGATGAATATGGAAATATGTTCTACGTTTTATTCGACAAGCTTATTAAGGTTCTTTTTATATACCCCCTGTAGTTCAAGTTACAGAAAATTTAGCAATGTTCCTAAAGAGACACCCACCCCCCCCCCTGGGAGCCCCCTTATAAAATTAAATTTCCCTTTCCACCCCCCCCCCCCCCCCCCCCCCCTCTTCTTTCTACTCCACACCAACTCCTGTTTTTTTTTTATAGACCAAAAAACCCACCGAGCACCACACTAACACCCCAACAACTAAAACAATAAAA